CAAGAGCGAGACCCCTGTCTCTACTAAAAATAGGAAAACTAGTTGGGTATAGTAGTGGGCACCTGTAGTCCCAACTACTTGGGAGGCTGAGCCCAAGAGTTTGAGGTTGCTGTAAGCTATGACACCAGGGCACACTACTAAGGTTACAGGGTAAGACTTTGTCTCAAAAGAAAAGAAAAAGAAAAAAAAACATTTGGGACCCATGGGTAGTGAGCCTATTTTTTAAAAAGTAAGGGAGGGATAAATCTAAAATGTAACACTGTATAGATGGGGAGGCAGAAGGACCAGGATACCCACAATTAGCTTCAGAGAAAATGATCCTGGTTTTTTTTTTTTTTTTTTGATCCTGTTATTTTTTAGCTTGGTGAGTATTCCTTTGTATTTTAGGCTTTTGTGTACATTACATATATTAATTTGCATGTGTTCAATACACATATTATGTAACACGTTGCCAAACAATGTTTGAAATGCTGGAACTACATTGTTAAAGGTTACTTGTGAGAGCTGTGCTATCGCTAGAGCGTCTCATGACACTTTTGGGCACAGAGTCCTCTGCCTTTGCCCTCTGTGGGCTTCAGTTTCTAGGGACTTGGCTCTGTCCCAGCCCTGCATTAGTGAATGCGTCTTCTGTTGCTCCAGGGGAAGGGTTTCTCTGACGTCTGGATGTGTCTTCCTCACTGGTGCCTGGCTGCTGGGCTCCTCCAAGGCTGGTCGAACATAGGACAGAGGACAGCCTTCATCGACCATGGGGGGAAGTGAGGCCAGAGCGGGTCTAAGCAGCCTGCTCAAAGTCGTCAACCAGCTTTCCTACCCAAACTCAGGGCTGGTGAAGAGAGAAAGGCCTAGATGACTGCACCTGGCCTGGCATCTGCCTCTTACCTACCAGCCTTGAGGCAGAGGGCCTCAGACTGGAGAACTCTGGCTCCAAGCGGTAAAGTGAGAAAGAAGTGTGAGCAGCATCTGTGTAGCTAGGCAGGGCTGCTGAAAAGAAGAAGCTGTCTCTGCCCCTTTGGTACCTATGTTCCTGGTCTCTGGACTGTGGCCAGTAGCTGGTCTGAACTGCCAGCTTCCTCTGGCTTCGGGAGTGTTACCTGCCTGGGAGTTACTGATCCTTACCCCTCCTCTCTGATAGCCACCTTGGATGGGGTGGGTAGGACAGTCTGCCAAGCATGAAATAAAAACACCTCCTCCTAAGCAAGAGAGAGGCGGTGGAGAGGCATTTGTGCTAGTCCTCAGTCCTTGAAGCACATGCGAGAAGGTGAGGTCAGGCAGTCAGGCAGCTACAGGGCCTTTCCAAAATCTTTGCCAGATTTTAGCTGCTGCTTGCTAATAAATGGTTATACTTTTGGTTTGAAGGATCAAGTGTGCTTATCATGAAAACTGGTGTGTCCCCTGGCCGCTGCTCCTCAGCTGGTTGGACTAATTTAGTAGGTTAATAAATGAGTTCAAGGTGGTTGGGCTAATTTTTATCTTCGTTTTTATAAATCTGTAACCTGTAGTCAAAAATTTGTTTCATGGGTGGTGCCTGTGGTTCAAGGAGTAGGGCGCCGGCCCCATATACCGGGAGTGTTGGGTTCAAACCCCACCCTGGCCAAAACTGCAAAAATAATAATAATAATAATAAAATAAAATTTGTTTCACTTGTTTCATTAACTTCAACACAGTTTTTTTCAGTGGGGAATGCCTTTGTTTTTCCTTTTTACCTTCCAATTTGGTCTCTAGAATAAAAAAAAGCATTGTCCTAAGTGGTTGAATGGATAGGTGTAGGGTCCTGGAGGGAGTGTGGAACTGAGTGTGTGTTCACACCCTTGCTGAACAGCTAGTGATCTTGGGCAAGTCTACTAATTCTTCTGTGCCTCAGTTACCATCTGTAAAATGGGCCTCCTGCCATGAAAACCCTGTGTGTCTAAGATTCCCTGTGTACTTGTGTACCTGGGAGTCCCACCTGGGTGCCTGACATTCATTCTTATGAGCATTTACTCACACACCCACTGAGTGCTCAGCCCCCCACCCCCCAACTCCTGCACTAGGCAGCCTACTGGGCACTAGACTGTAGCAGAGAGCAAGACAGGTCGCCCATTCTGTGGTGCTGGGAGTCTCATGGGGAAGAGAGACACGGGATTAGAGATTATATTCCACTCTGGTGCTGAGGCCCCTGGGAGGCTGCTGCCTGAGTCCCCATTATATGGTAATGGTGGCCAGAGATCGTTATGCTTAGTCCTGAGGCCTCTGGTGGCTTCCCCACCTCAGAATGAAGTCCCTTTTTCAGATTGCTGTGCATTTATCAAGTGTTTTCTCCTTCCCCAGAAGTGGCGAGTGATGTGTTGACCAGCCTGCCAGGGAACAGTGTTACCCTGACCTGCCTAGGGGCAGAACCAGAAGACAACACCACAGTGGAGTGGGTGCTGGGGAATCCGGCCCCAGGCTCACAGCCAAGGAGATGGGCTGGTGTGGGCAGTAGGCTGCTTTTGAGAACCGTACAGTTCAGTGACTCTGGGAACTATTCATGCTACCAAGATGGCCGCCCTGCTGGATCTGTGCACCTGCTGGTAGATGGTGAGTTGTGCTCAGAGCTTTCCAGATGCTCCAGGGCAGCTCCCGCCTGTGCATTCCAGTGAAGTCCCTGCCTGGCCCTTTAAATTCCTGGTTTTTCCACGGCCCAAGAATTTTAGGGAAAGGCCCTTTGATATCTGGCAAGAGCTGGTGGAGATTCCTGCTGGGTGGAGCATCTGGCTGATGCAGAGAGTGGGTTCACCTCGTGGGTTAGGCTTTGGTGCACCAGGCTATAGCAGGGTCTGGGCTGGACAGCCTGAGTCTGGGTGCTACTGCTTCACATGCAGCTTAACTTCTCTGCCCCTCAGACAAAATAAGGTTAACTTTATTACTTTACCTTAGAGGTGTCGTGAAGAATCACTATGTATGACTGTTAGGTGTATCACACACTTAGTGCTGACAACTCTGCAGAGGACATTCTGAGCTCTCAGATCAGCTCTTATTTTTAGAATTAGCAGGTTTTAGCTCCATCACAAATAGATTAAAGACTGTACAAAGCTGATGCCCTATGTGCCAAGAAGGTGCTGTGCTAAAGTCTTTCTTCCTTGTACCAGGTCTTTCATCCATCCTGTGAGGGAAAGCAGTATTATTATCACTATTGTTATCATCATTATCATTAATTTTATAGATAAGGAACTGAAGAGAGTCTGGGACTTGCTCAATGCCACAGAGCCAGGCCTGAGTGACCGCAAAGCCCTATTTCTTTTTTCTTTTCTTCTTTTTTTTTTTTTTTGAGACAGAGCCTCAAGCTGTCCCCCTGGGTAGAGTGCCGTAGCATC